ATATATGTTACCAGGGGATAGACAGGCAGGGTGTTAGGGAACTGTTAGGGAACTCTGGATACTGTGCCAGAAAAGACTTGTGGAGCCCCGGAGAGCAATGAGAGTTGGTATATGGGAACAGGTAAGAGATTACTGCAGAAATACAAGCAGGAAATAGTGAGAGTATTGAAAACAGGTGGTAACAAGGACATGATGGGTCCTGATGGATTTGTGTCATATTTAGAGGACAGTTCAATATAACAACATTGGGTGTATAATATGAGAGAAAGAGAAGTCAGATATTGTGCCAAGATTTGGGGTTGAGCAACTGAAAGACTGGAGTTGTCATGAATTAAGGTGGGGAAGACTATGGGGGTAGGAACAGGTTTTGGAGAAATTGTATAATTTACTATTTGTTAATCTGTTATAAGACCTGTTGGGCAACCATGTAGAGCTGCTGAGTTAATAGACTAGTGTTATGGTAGAAGGACCATAATGGAGTCTTCCTTTTCTGGTCATGGTCATCTTTAGCGACCCATTTCTACTCCTGCCAGGAGGCAATGATAAACACAGGATCCATAAAGTAATTTCCTGGGTTCAAGTGGGGCTCCATGCCTTCATGTTTCTGTGTGCCTGATGTCTCAATCTTATCATTCATAACTACAAAATAATCCCACAGCTAATAGTATTGTGAGAATCAAATGAGTAAGTCTCCTTCATGAATTTGGAATTTACCTGGAATAAAACAAGTTCAAACTAGAACGTTTACATTATAATAGTAGTGGCTGCTGTATAAAACCTCCACTTGGTGCCAAGTGCTGCTCAAATAACAATATGTTAAGTTTTAAAAGATTTTTACATATTTATTTAATTGTGTGTGTGTGTATGAGAGAGACAAACACACAGACATTGACACAGAAAGACAGAGACAGACACACACAGAGAGACAGACATAAAAGAAGGAAGGAAGTTGATTCTTTCCTGTCATCTTGTGGGATCCAGGGATTGAACTCAGGTCACCAAGCCTGGCAACAAGTACCTCTACCCACTCAGCCATCTTGCCATTCCCATGATTCTTATATCACTTCTGGAGCCCTACAATGTAGCTTCTTCTTCATAAAGGCGTGAAGGTGGCCAAAAGGTTGTCATCTAGCTAGCAGTTGTCCAAACATGTCAAGCCCAGGCAATCTGACTCTGAAGTCCATAAAAATAAAATACCAGATTGTACTACCACTCAAAGCATGTTAGCTATGGTTGCTCTTTCCCTGGCCTTTTATTCCTTTTATTAAGACAGTACTTCTTAATCTGTTTATGAACCTGCTCAGAGTTCACTAGAGGTTCATATTTATCAGACTTTTACTTCTAAGGAATATCGCTACCTCCATATACTTTGCAAAGTATAATTTTGAGTTGCCCCAGGAATGACCTATCTTTGCATTTTCTAAGGCCTGTTGCTTCCTGTCCCTCTCTGATTTGACAGTCTTCTGTGTTTAAGTACATTCCACATTTGCTTTAGTAGCACAAGGAGTTAGTTCTGCCCTGTCCTGGGAAGAAAACCCCGGTTGAGTGTTTATCTGCTATGGCTGCTGCCACTAGGGGGTGCTCATGTTATACCGTTTCATATCCACACTCAACGCAGATAATAGTTGCATATCTAAGTGGCAACTCAAACACTTTGATTCCTTTTCCATACCACAGCATGTATAGCATGTATTATTTCTAACAGATATGTAGACGATCACTACCTAGTACCTAATTTGATGAAGTATTAAAATCAAAATTAATAGGATGTTTTTGACAGTCAATAATTTGTAATCATGTAAAAATTAAAATATGTAGATGTAATCACAGTATATGTATAATAAAAATGATAGCAATGGCTTTGCTATGTTTCTGAAGGCAACAGAACTATATTTTATAAGGTAAACTTACTGAAAAATTAACTGAGGATTTTCAGCAATGACATTTTACCACCAAGCTCTGGAGGGCAACCAGGAGCAGCATCAATATACTATTGTATTTGGGGATCTTGAAGAATAGACTATGGAGCTGTCAAGCTGGTACTGACCTAGGAACTTCATCTCTACTGGCTAGCTTTCTTGGTGTTGGAAGACGCTATGCATCCTACGAAGGATAAAAGTAAGAATCGGTGATACTGAGCTGTGAACCCTGAAACATACAATAATAACTGGCCTGCCAAGACGTGCCCACCAGTGTAATAGTGGCACAAACACCTTGGGAGTAACCAACCTCCTTTTCATTGGGTTAAGGCCTGTTCTACAAGATGAAACCTACACATGGCACCATTATTGGGCTGAAGATCTATGGCTTGATAGGACATAGGCCCTAGGGGACAACCTACTATTTATTATTCTGCTAAATGGGCAAAATATTAATATATCTCCTAATGACTTATCATTATATCCATAGATTAAGGCTTATCTTGCCTCTTATTAGAGAGGCTTCTGTTTGCAATAAATGATGATCAACACAGAGATCCATGTCTGGCCAAGTTGCAAAGAATAAGAGACTGAAGAATGCTCAACCATAAATGGAGCATATATACTGTGTTGTCCCTCCCAATGCGCAGGCATCACTGCAGAAGATGGACTGAAAAAGCATAAGAGCCAGAAGGAAACAGTATATTCTTGTCACATCAGAGCAGCTGCACATGTGAGCACACAGCAGTTGTGATAGCATGTATAAGACCTGTCAGACACAAACTAAAACAAATTTCAGCATGGAGAAGGGCATGAAGTTCCATCCTCAGCTAAGGGAATATGATCAACACAGATGTGGAATTCTCAATTAACTAATAAATCAACTGAGAATAAAAATCTGTTCTTTTCAACTATAACAATAGGTGATAGGTAGATGAAGAGATGGATACATGAGTGATGGTATAGATAGATGATAGATAGACAGACAGATAGACAGACAGGCAGATAGACAGATAGTGTTCTTGGGCCATATCTACCTGCTGCCTGTTTCTATATGGCCTGAGAACTAAGAATTCTTTGTATATATTTTTTCTTACAGAATATTTTGATCATATTATTCTCCTCCCCAACTCCTCCCAGGTCTACCTCCTTACCAACCCAAATTCATTGGTTCACTTTCTCTCTCCCAATGAAAAATGATAAAATGAACAAAAACCTGAATAAGACAGACAAAACAAAATAAAAAAAACTCACATTAAAGAAACCCCATGGAGTTCATTTTGTATTGGTCACCTTCTCTGAGGCATGGGACCTACCCTGGAATGTGGTTGGTACCCAGTGACACTCCACTGGAGAAAATGTTCCCTTTATCAGCAGATGTTCTGGGTGTCAGTGGGGAGTCAGAAAGGGACAGAAGCAGCAGGTGAAAGAGGTAGTGGGGAAGAACCAGGGTGCCCCTGGGTCCACACCAAGAGGCCAAATTCCAAAGGGATGGGCATGGGCTTGGAGGAGGGACTCAGGCAGGCAGGCTGAAGTGGGACTAAAGGTTACTTCAGGAAGGAGGCCAAAGGTTACATACTTGAGTCTTGTCCTAGTGTGGATCCCTTGTAGAGAGTGTTTCTCTCTTTTTATGTTTTTAAGGGCTAGAAAATAAAGTCTTGAGTTTGAATTCATGATATTTTATGACATATAAAAACATACAAGGTATAGATTACAGTGTCTATAGTTTGGATCTTAAATGCCTAACCAAAAGCCCATGTTGTAGAATCTTGGCTGCTAGCCTATTCTTTTAGGGGTGGTGGAACTTTTAGGAGGTGAAGACAGCTGAAAATAACTCATCGGTACAGGTGTGATTAATGAAGCTATTGGAACCCAGCCCTTCTCTTTTATTTGATTCATTGACATCAAGATGTTCTGCTTCCTCCAGGTCCCCAAACAACAGACTCTTCTTATCAATCACGTGCTGGAACCACTGCAACAGAGACCAAATAACCTTTCTTTTTAAAATTGATTATCTCAGGTATTTTGTGACAGCCATGGAAGTCTAGCAATTATAAATAAAATTTTATTGGAATAAGACATACGTTCACTTTGTTGGTGGATGGTTCCCTTCATGCCACAGTGAGAAAGAGTAGTTGTGAGAAAGGCTATGTAGTCTGCAAAGCCTAACATAGTTGCTCTCTAGCATTTGAGTAAGTTTTGACTCTTGAAATCAATAAGTAAGTAATGCCACACATAACTTTGCCTGGCTGCAGTCTGTCTCTTATCCTCTCGTGGCATTCAGAGCCCTCATTTGATTGAGGATGCAGATCTCCATCAGAGGCCAGCAAGATAAGGACATTTAGCTGAATCCTGTACTGCCCTTCATCCTTATCTTAATGTGCATTTCCTTTCAAAGCAAGATAGTTCTTGCAAGTAGTTGATTTGTTTTCCAGAAACAAAAGTCATGAGTGTGGAGATGCATTTTAAACATGTAGGCAAATGGGATGTTTGTTTGCCACAGACAATTATTCTTATGGCTGATTCTTTTCCTTATATAATTTTGTGTGGAAATTACAGAACACAAGGAAGAATAAATATGAAAGTTTAAAAAAACCTTAAAATCTTGCTTCCTGGTGATTACTGCATTCTGACATCAGTTTATTGCATGGCTTGAAAGAATGAGCTGCTGCTTACTTACTTTTAGCTTGCCAAAGACAAATTGATACCAGAATGCAATCAGTTGAAGAGTGATCCTAAGGTGGGGTGCTTCTTTGTTTTCAGACAGTTTCTTGTGTTGCCCATACTGGGTTGGAACTCATGATTTACCAGCTTAGTATACCACCAGATCTGGTCCAATAGTTTTGCAGGTGGTTCAGGATCATTTGCACTCTGTGAGATTCCAGTTACTGAGGCTCAGGAGGTAATCACATTACTATCGATTTTGTTGTTGTTGTTGTTTTGGCAAAGGCCAAGCGTCGTCTGAATTTGCCAGCAGAGGACAGCAATTCTGTGACTGAAAATCCAGCTTTGAAAACACAGGATCCTAAGGTTGGGAAATACATGGACTCACAGTCTCCCAATAACTGCTTTTTCTTGTAGAGCCAAAGATCCATGGGGCCCCAGGAATGAGAGGAATCTCAGAGGTACCCAAGAGATCACAAGAAGTGTATGATGGAGCTTGGTACAGTATCCTGACAGATAGAAATAAAGTGAATAGAGGGGACATGGACCTTCCCCAACCAGGAAGAAGATTGACTGGAAACATGATGTCTGCTTCATCTTATTGTTCCTGTAATGCTTAACTTGTATTTATTTTCAATTTTATGTACATATATGTCTTTAAAATCTTTTAATATATATATATATTAAGTGTACATTTGTACTTTAAGCAATCAATTGGTATGTTATATCTCACTGGAAAAGGCTCATCTGTCTGTCTTTCCTCAGAATCTGATATACAGTATTTTCTGTACTGCTTTTCATACCTCTAACCCACATACATTTCATCGTGACTACGCCTTTTCATACCTTCAATCCACATACGTTTTCAACATGACTCTACACTTTTCTTACCTCTAACACACATACATTTTCATTGTAACTCAATGCCTTTTTGCCTCCTTCTCCTGATCTTCCATTTTACTATTTGAATAGATACCCTTAGTTCAAAATATCCCACAAAACTGTTAGCTGCATTTTACCCAGCCAGCACTCCAGTGTCTGTCTCCACATCCTTTAGGGGACTCATATGGAAAGTACAAGTGTCTTCTACATCTTAAACTGGGACCGCTGCTAAGCTATCAGAGCTCTACTGCAGTTGACTGACCCTCTAAATGTAAATGCAACCCACCAGGAGGACTCACATAAAATAAGACAAAGAGAGAGGATACATATACAACAAGAAACTCAAAATACATGAGATGGCATTCCACTCTAAGACACCCCACAAGCCAACTTCTTTGAGAAACTGGAAGACAGATGATAAGGGAGCTGAGATGCCAGAAAAAGATTCAAGAGGCCTACATTCAAAGGGAATTAAACACCAAATAGAAGACTCAAATGAACATAGGGGATCTAATTGAGGACCTAAGCAAGAATGTTATGAATCAGTTCAAAACTTAGACAAGAAAGTTATCAAAGTGAATGAAAGAATCAGTAACATGAAGGAAAAGTTTTTAAAAAACATGGAAGAAAAATTCAGGTAGGAAATTTAGACACAGGAAAAACAGGTAATTCTAGAAAATAAAGAAGCAATCAAATAGAAAACACAGTAGGAAGTAGCAACAGACAAGACCAAACACAAGAATATACTTCAAGGATGGGAGGGCAAGGTTAAGACAGTTATACATATAGACACACAAAGAATAAAGTTAGTAAGAATGACTCAAACTGCCAAGAAGTCTGGGAAACAGTCAAAACACCAGACCCAAGAATCCGCGGAATAAAAGAGGAGGTGAGATAAAATCAAATTAGATTTACACAGTATACTCAGTGAAATTATAGTTGAGAATTCCACAAACCTAGAGAAAGAAATAGACATTTAAAGACAGGAAGAATTTTGTCCCCAAATAGACATGATAGTCATTGCTGGAGTCTTTAAGGAAAAATGCCAGCTCACACATACAGGTGAAAATAATGAGAGCAGCATCAGGTCTGTCTTCAGCAACACAGAGACACATGTTTCAAGCTAAAAGTTAATAATTGACAACAAAGTTATTGTTACTTTGCTGCTATGCCTAACAAAGTTACCTGTTAAAATTGATGAAGAAATAAGAATAATTCAAGAAAAGCACAAATTAAAGTAAGTCATGATTACTAACCCAGGACTACAAAAAATTCTTAGAGGAATACTATATTGCAGGTAAAGAAGAAAGACAGAATTAATCAAACAAAAAGTTGGTACTTGAAAAAAACAAGATTGACAAATTATTAGACAAACTAGCCAAAAGAAAGATAAGAAACAAATTAATAAAATTAGAGCTGAGAATGGAATTGTTATAGCAGATTCCCATGAAATATAAATCATAAACAAACGCTTTGGAAATTTAGAAGAGATGGTTTAATGTCAAACCATGTGTGACTATCAAAATTAAAGCCAGAAGATATATATAGTTTAAACAGACCTATAACAAACAATGACATTGATGTAGTAATTAAGAACCTCCAGACAAAGAAAAACCCAGGACCAGATGGATTCACTGCCAACGTCTACCAGACTTTTAAAGAAGATCTCATACCAACACTTCTCAAATTGTCCCATAAAACAAACATTATCAAACTCATTTTACCAAGCCACTTGACTTTGATACCAAAGCCATTTACCACAACAAAAAGGGAGAAAACAACAAACCAATATTCCTGATGAACAGATATGAAAATATTGTTTGTTTTGTTTTTGAAGAAAGGGTTTCTCTGTATAGCTCTGACTGTCCTGTAACTCAATTTGTAGACCAGGCTGGCCTTAATTCACAGAGGTCTACCTGCCTCTGCCTCCGGAATGCTGGGATTAAATGTATGATCCATCATGACCAGGCTGATGAAAATATTCTTAATGAGTTATTTGCAAACCACATACGATATAGTGGTGTAGGACTTTAAGCTCTCAGGAAATAAAGGCAGGTGGGTCTCTCATTATTTTGATACCAAACTGGTCTATATAATGAGTTCTAGGTCATCCAGGGATACATAATGAGATCCTATTTAAGAGAAAACAACAACAAAAATACTTACAATCAAAGTTAAGAATACATTAAGGTTATTGTGTGTGGGCACTAGAGAGGGGTCTAAGAGATTTAGAGCACTTGCTTCTTCAAAGTGTAAGAGTTCAGTTTCTAGTACCCTCAGTGACTGGCTCAAAACTGCCTGTAACTTGAGTTTTAGGAAATATGATGTCCTTTCCTGGCTTCCATGGGCACTGCATTATGTACACACACACACACACACACACACACACACACACACACACACACGCACGCACGCACGCACACACACACACACACACACACACACACACAGAGAGAGAGAGAGAGAGAGAGAGAGAGAGAGAGAGAATGCCACAAGTATTTTAAAAAATACCATACATGACAACTGGTTGGTTTATCCCAGGCATGCAAGGGTGGTTTGGATATATATAGATCAGTAAATGTAATATACCATGTGTGGTGGTTTGAAAGAAAATTACCCCCAAAGGGAATAGCACTATTAGGAGGTTTTACCTTGTTGGAGGAGATGTGATCTTGTTGGAGGAAGTGTGTCACTGTGGAGGTGGGTTTGAGATCTCATATATGCTCAAACCACATCCAGTGAGTCAGACCACTTCCTGTTGCCTGCAAGTCAAGATGTAGGATACACAGGTACTTCTCCAGCACCATGTCTTGCCACATGTCACACCACAATGAAAATAGACTAAACCTCTGAAGATGTAAACCACCCCAGTTATAGGTTTTTCCTTTATAAGAGTTGCCATGGTCATGGTGTCTCTTCATAGCAATAGAAACACTAAGACATCATGTTAACAGTAAGGTCAGAGGGCGCATGATCATCTTAGACAGACACTGAAAAATATTTGACAAAGTTAAACATGCTTTCATGACAAAAAATATATTTTAAAAAATGGAGAGGGGGCCTGGCAGCCCAGACTCTCTGGAATCCACCCACATTGCAGTCTTGGCCCCCCTATGCCTTCTGCTTGAGGTGAGTCTCGGTTTTTCCCAGGCCCAACTTGCCCCGTCCCATTCCTGGAGCTTCCTGGGTCTGCTCAGCATGTAATAAACCTGCCCCGGCAGCTTGGACTATCCAGTCTGCTTGCATTGCAGTCTTGCCCCCCCCATGCCTTCTGCATAAAGAGACCCCAAGGAGAGGCTGGATGATCCAGAGTTGCCAACATGGAAGTCGTGGCCCACCTACACTCACTGGGAGACAACAGGAGAGGGAGAGACCTGACCTGCACCCACTGGAAGAAGGGATGGGAAGATGACAGCATAAGAACACATTTAGCAACACAAAGACCAATATGATACCACCAGAGTCTAGGGACTCTACACAAGCAAGATCCAAACAGCCCAATGCAGATGAAGCAGAAGAGAAGGACCTTTAAAACAGCTTTATGAAGATGTTAGAAACCTTCAAAGAGGAAATCAATTAAAGAAATGGAAGAAAAACAAACAAACAAAAATACAGGAAATAACAAACCAAAAAAACTCAAGAAATAAACTAATCTCTTAAAGAAAGCAAGGAAAGCCAAGAAAAAGCAACCAGACAAGTAAAGGAAACAACTCAAATAGTTCAAGGCTTGAAAGCTGAAATAGAAACAATAAAGAAAACACAGAATAAGGGAATGCTGGAAATAGAAAAGCTGGGCAAATGATCAGGAATTACAGATGTAAGTATAACCAATAGAATACAAGAGAATACGATGAAGACTCAGTAGAAGAAATACAGTCATCAACCAGGAAAATCTTAAGTCCAACAAATCCCTAACACAAAATATCCAGGAAATGTGGGACACCATGAAAAGACCAAGCCTAAAAATAATGGGTATAGAAGAAGGTGAAGAAATACAGTTTAAGGGAACAGAAAACATATTCAACAAAATCATAGAAGAAAACTTTCCTAACCTAAAGGAGGACATTCCAAGGAAAGTACAAGAAGCTTACAGAACACCAAATAGACTGGGCCACAAAAAGCTCCCTTGCCACATAATAACCAAATCAGCAAACTTAAAGAGTAAAGGAAAAATATTAAGAGCAGCAAAGGAAAAATGCAGACCTATCAGAATTACTTCTGACTTCTCAATGGAAACCCTGAAGGCAGAAGGTCCTGTGTAGATATTCTACCAACACTAAAGAGATCATGGATGCCAGCCTATACTTCTATACTCAGCAAAGCTTTAAATCACTGTAGATGGAGAAAACAAGATATTCCATGACAAAACCAGATTTAAACAATACATATCCACTAACCCAGCCTACAGAAAGTACTGGAAGAAAAACTCCAACCCAAGGAAATTAACTACACTCACAAAAACATAGGCAATATATAATCCCACTTTATCAAAAGTCAAAAGAAAAGAAAAATAGGGGTGGTGGTGGAATCTACATATAATATCACCACAAACAATAAATCCAAAATAAACAAGAATTAATAGTCAGTAGTCATTAATATCCTTCAATATCAATGATCTTAACTTTCCTAGAAAAAGCCACAGGGTAACCGAATGGATACAAAGACAGAATCCATCCTTCTGCTACATACAAGAAACACATATCAATTTCAAAGACAGACGTTACCTCAGAGTAAAGGGTTGGGAAAAGATTTTCCAATCA